GACAGCATCAAACAGAGGTGTTCCAGCCCGATTTTCTGCTTCGGTAAGGACCGAGGGGCGTATCAGCTCAGGCCTCCGAAGTTTTCTCGCTCGGAAGCAATATTTGCAGTCGCAGTCGGGCTATGGTGCATGGGCAGCCCACTTCAATAGACCGTAAAAAAAAGAGAGAATAGCAGGGCGCTTCTCGTTGGCAGAAAGACCAGGGACCTTATGCGACAGAATATTCTTCAAAGATTTTTTATGTCCCACATTTAAATTTATAAGAATTTGGCAGGAGTTACTTTCGAGTTCTTCCACTCTAAAATCTTCCTACTTTTGCCTCCAGAGGAAAAGAGCAGGGCGAACTTGGTTTTCGGCGGAAAAGCCAGGGAATTTATGCGACAGGACACATTTTTTCTAACAACTGTTAGGCTTAAAAACATGCTGAAAGATGCTTTTGCGGTTATCTTAAAAACACCCTACTTTTGCTTCTGAATGAGAAAAGAGCACGACGAATCTGCTCTAGCACACATTTTCAAGAGTATAAAATGATGTCCCACCTTTCCTTCAAAAGAGAGAATAGTAGGGCGCTTGGTCTCGCTGGCAGAAAGGCCAGGAATTTTATGCGACAGAATCCGTTTTCAAAGACTTTCTAGGTTCCAAATTTAAATTTATAAAAAAGTGGCAGAATCTTCCACTCTAAAGTCATCCTGCTTTTCCCTCCAAAAAGAAAAGAGCGAAGAGAACTTGGTCTTACTGGCAAAAAGACCAGGGACTTTATGCGACAGAATACTTTTTCTTAACAGTTCGAGACTTGTAAAACTTTGTGGGAAGGTACTTTTAAGTTCTCTACTCCTGTCTTCAAAGGAAAAAGGTTAGGGCTCAGCTGCCAGAAAACATCAGGGATCTTATCTTATGAAATCCAGTGAAAGCTGTTTCAAGGAGTGATGTATAATATTGCAGTTTTGGTTTCTCTCAGAGAAAAGGATTAACGCTTTTCGAGGTATAGCAGTGTTCCATAAAATCAATTTGAACTTTGATCCAAAGCAGCTGATCTTCATTAGAGATGATATTTTTGTTAGATTCAAATAAAACCTAACGGGGGTTTTTGGAATGGGATTTTGCGAGGATTATGGTGGAGATGAATTGCAGATGATTTCCTACTTTGGATGCATCTGTATTTTTCACAGAACGTAGCATCTTGTTTGTAACATTATTTGCAACTCGCGAGTCATTCAAAAAATGAAATGAGTTTCAACCTGTTCACAGCAACACTCGAATGTATGTATCAATGTATCTGCCCCAACCCACTTGCTAGCGACCCGTAGGGTCGCTAGTATCTTATATATAAAGCTGAATGTCTGTTTGTCTGTCTGTCTGTCTGTCTGTCTGTCTGTCTGTACGTATGTTCCGAATAGAAAATTCCATTTCTGAACCAATTGGGACCAAACTTGGCACACATACACTTCGGGCCCCGGCGGGTGTCACAGTAACCTTTTCGTTATCGATCGATGTCGATTTATCGATTTTTTGCAGAATTTGAGCTAGGAGGCTGGAATTTGGCAGAGGGGTATAATCGAGCATGATGATCACTCCCGTGGGGGCCGAAGTGTATGTGTGCTAAGTTTGGTCCGGATCGGTTGAGAAAAGGATTCTATTCGGAACATACGGCGGAGCCGGGTAAGCCAGCTAGTTGCTTATAATCATACATTCTTCATCTGAGAACATCCGGGCAACTGAATTGCCTTAGGCACTGTCCAGTGTAAAGGTAGGCCTTTATCTTTTTTGAGCATACTCACTACGAATTGGGCCACGATGATGACGTGCTTGTTCAGAAAAAGTGAATTGCTGGTCAAAATTTCTTTGATTTCAAACGTTGACCAATCCTAAAAAAATTTCATGATCTTTTTGAATTTGTCATCCCAGAAGTCGAAAGTCCTCGGCCATACTAGCCTTGCTCCTGAAAATTTTGTTTGCCTCGTAGTCCAAAATAATGATTTTCAAACTCTGCGTAAGATTTCTAAACCACTCTCACTGTGCTAAAGCATTCGTGACAACAAAAACCACTTTATGTCCTCTAAACCACTCTCACTTTGCTAAAGCATCCGTGACAACAAAAACCACTTTATGTCCTAGAAAAGATGTGACGACTAATTTTACACTAATCTTGCATTCAACTTTTTACTTACAAAAACCTTCATAACTCCTCGCTTAAAAGCCCTCAGCAGATAGCAAAGGAAGTTTAGGAATCAGCGTTTCAAGCTCTACAAGATAGTATACATCTCATTCCAAAAGGCCACTTCGACCAATCTTCCCTTGTCAGTACGCTGCGCGCGGGAAAGCTTTATACTCATAGATGCTTGGCGATGGCGTCGGCGGCCCTGTCTTAAAGATCAATCTACTTCAGACAAAGACAACGACTGTCGAAATGTAGGGCTGAATAAACGACAAAACCGTACTAAGCTGAGTCCGGCGTGCTAACGGACTACCACACCAGTTTCGTAATACTATGATGTCAAAAACCCATATTTCCATGAAGAACACGACGACTGTTATAAAGTCAGATAAGCAATCACCGTACTAACTTGGGTCCAGCATATGACACATATAACTACTGCACCATTTTCGTGCTAACTGTGATGTCGGAAACCCTACTTCAATGAAAAATTGTTCGACGTTCTTGGATACTCCAGTATCGAGGAAGTCCAATTTTGAGCTCATCGCCCTAACAGCACCTGCATTCTAAAGCAATTTTCTTGCTTACAAAGGAATGGTCAGATGTCGAAGTGGCCAATCTATACAAGCTGCATACCATTCGATGCAGCATAAAATGCTAATTTCAAATTTGTCGTCCATATCTGCAGAGCGCTTTTATGGACGAAATTATGAGCAGCTTTACTGCGAGAAAACCGTACACAAAAATTGCAAATAGGCACATTATTGCTCTTCCAGCTGAGCTCTAGGTACGGGTCATATGAAGTGACCTAGTTGCATGTTTTGGTCAAACACTGAGCTGAGAATGGCTTTGTACGGCCAAGTTTGCATTTCATACACACATAATTCTTAGCAAAATAATGGCCTCCAATGGCTTATAATTTCGTCCACAAAAGGGCTTTGCAAATAAGGACTACAGGTTTAGAGTCAGCGTTTTAAGCTGCATCTAAAGCTGGGTGGAGAGTTAAGGCCAAAAGGAGAGAAATCTGAGAGAAAAACCGTTGAGAACGGTCAAAATTCTCCAATTCCCGCCGTTCAAAACGGTGCGGGGCGGCTGCAGCGCATGCAGCACAGTGGAGCTGTTCCCGCACAGTTCCAGCACAGTGCAAGAACTGTGCGGAAACAGTTCCAGAATATGGGAATCATATGAACCCAGCTTAAGGCTGCGTTCAGACTGATCCCGAAGTTGGGGAACAGTTCCAGCACAGCGCTTAAAATGAGCACTATGCTGAAAGTGTTCCCGAATTTCGAAATCAGTCTGAACGCAGCCTAAGTTGCGGCAAAGTAGCGAGCGAGAGGGCGGCGCAGCGGACTCCTTGAAGAAGTCGCGCAATCCGCGACAGCAATGGGACTTGGATTGCTTAGGGGAGCTCTAATGCTACATCCAAATGTAACCAAGCCCAAATTTAGACGTTAGATGGGCGGTGCCTTTGAGACATAAAAAGTGAGTCGCTTAATTTTGTGCTAACCTTGCGTTCAATCGTTCGCTTAGAATGTCTCATTACTCCTTTAAAAAGCAGTTTTATGGATTACTCCCTTGAAAAGCAGTATTGCGGTGTTGATCAATTTGTAATCCATGTTTTAGCTGTATGTTTCCATTACCTATAAGTCTTAAGGTTACTCTAAGTAGTGTTTTTTGGGTGAGTGACTTTTAAACGATAGCATGTGCCAGCCGCCAGCTGGGTACCGTACGCCGTGCGCTAAACGCTCCGCCCCAAGTTGATTGGCATAGAAATGCGTTGCATTATGGGAAAGCTCTAACATTGCCCAGGCTTTATGTTAGTAAATTTGAATCTATGGAGTAGTTTAAACTTTGATAGTAAGTCGTCTTTTAGTATCATTTTCTTTTTGAAGTTATCTGCATTCTCAATTTTCGCATATGTCATTTCTTTGTTTTTACTAAGTTGGTCCAAATTATCATTACATTAGAGCTCCCAGAAACATTTGAAAAATGCTTGAAGAATGCCCAAATTTATGTTGTTTTAATTTGTTATCTAAATGATATATTTGATCATATACTCTAGTGACTTTGCTTACAAGAAATCAACTCAGACACTGGGAGCGGCCGAGCGGCGGACCTTTTCAGGCTGAAATTTCGCAGCGTCCGCGGCCCGGCCGGAGATGGGCCGCGGCTCAGCCGATTGCGGACCTCGGCTCGGCCGTGGCTGGCTATCGGGCTGCGTGTAGTTCATTATAGCTTGGCCATAATTAGGCCTAGTTCACCATGTATAGGATTATCCTTTATCATTGAATCATATAATAATTGATTCTCTAAGTCGAACACAGATTCACAGTAGAACTTCTTTTTATTTAGTGGCACAGGAAAGAATACACATGAATACACATGGGTAGAAAATACCATACACATACACTTGCTTCATCCATTTCAAACTTATGCAAATGTCTCGAGAGGAACTTTGTACTCCAGCATTTCTATATCTCCAAAGTGCTTCTCATATTTGTGAAATCTCGGTGTAGATTCAATTCGGCAGCATCAGCGAACGCGATATTTTGTTGCGACGCAAAAGTAGAAACCTCAAATGATGTGAAGTTCGAAGACTTCCCAAAACTCAGTAATGCAAAAAATTTGAAATAACCATAAAATAGAGGGTAAAAAGTTTGAGCTTTCTACAGGGAATGCCGACCTTTTGCGTTTCGGTTGTGGTAGCTTTCCGACACGACTAATCGCTGACTAAGTGGTACAATCGAAATGCAAGGTTATCGGCGTGCAATGCTATAATTAGAGAAATAGAGAAAATAATGGTAAAATAAATGAATAAAAAAAAGATGTATAAAAGAGAGCGCTATTATACCTTCTCCTTGAGTTTTGCAGAAGCCCGCGTGGTAAGTTGTGCGTGATAGATGAGTCCATATTTAGGAGTGTCTTTCTTGGTCTTCAAAGCACGGAACAAAGCCTGAATAGAAAATCGTATAAGGAAAAACCAAAAAAAAAACAACATTTCATACCTTCTCAGCACCAAGAATCTGTACTGTAGAAGCAGGTGCTTTGGCTAATGAAACGAGAGATCCAACATGTGAGATCAGTCGAGCACCCACAAGTAAGCATGTTAAATTAGGGGCTAGGGCGGTCACTCTATTCTTCAAATAGTCGAATAATTGCGACCTGAAGAGAAAAATCTAGAATAAGAAGAAGAAGAAACTTATTTTGTAAAAGCCCGACTCACACATTTCAGACTATTTACAGTATGAAAGATAGAATAAAAATGTCAATATGACTAGGACCTTACAAAGAACTTCTAGGGAAACCATAAAAAGGTAAAAAGGTGGCTAAACTCATAAAATCCAATGTGCAAAATCCAATTCAGCTCCCATTGAGATATCTGCCTCCTCTTTTACCTTTGCTTCAAGTTGCTTTTATGAATTTCGGAAAGATCAACATTGGCTGCATTTTGCTTTATGCCAGTAACTTTGACAACCTGGAAGTCGATTGATAAACGATGAGAAACGATACGAGAAGAGTGCACCTTTGCAAAAGCTTGATGATCCTGTACAAGTTTGCCGAGCTCGGGAAAGTGCCAACCTACCATTCACGACATCTCATCACGTACTTATTAAACTCTTTATCTAAGTCGCCCAAAAGCGAAACAGCTTAGAAAGGAAAGACATTTGCAAATTAGCAGTGATAACGCAAAACGTCAAACGAACTGCATAATCATACTTTGTACAGACCAACAGAATGTGCTACTAGATTCATAACACCTGATTCTGCTTTGTGCTCGCCTAGCAATAAATCGATGTGAGCACGAATGCTTGCTTGAGCTGCTTGAGCTCAGAAATAGCTGGAGAGTAGACATATGTAACTTCCAACTTTTCCTGGAAACGAAAAGCATGAAAAGCTTAAGCCAATTCCATTAAAACATGGAGTGATTGGGACGAGATAGATTCGAATAACTCAGGTTTGATAAGCTCCCAGACATTGTTTTGGTGTTATGATCAGAAAAGAGGGTGAATTGGGATAACAATAAGTTCAACAAAGTTTTTCTTTCAAGGGCCTGCAAAACGTAGTTTTTACAAAACAACTGATAAGGTAATAAACATACGTTGGCCTTTTGCACTGGAGGAGGTGGCGACGATGTGCTGTTTGCCAGCAGCTTTGGACAACCAAATGTAAAGTACATGATGTGTCTGATTAACGTCTTACCTAGAAAGACATTGTTTTTTTAAAACTTAGTTGGAAGAAAGCCAAACAACTTATCAAACTCAGGCCGACCCACGGAATTTGTCTGACATGGGCTGCGGCTCGGCCGGAGTTTCATTATAGAGATTTTTGGCGCGGCTCAGCCGCTGCAATGCTCCACCCCCATCATTAAGGCCGCGGCTGAGCCGGTAAGCCATATTCAGTCCGCGGCTGGCCGATGCAATAATATTGACATAAATTAAGGTCCGCGGCTCGGCCGCACTCCGGCCACGCCTACAAATTAAGGCCGCGGACTGAGCGGAAAGACCTTTTGAGGCCGCGGCTCGCCCGGTCCCAGTGTCTGAAAACTTGCCAAATAGATCATTCTATTGCAGAAACATCTGATCAGCACAATTTACTTTTACTGGAATGAGTATCAAAATCGTAATCATGGAAAATAGATTCTATACCCTATAGCAATTAACGAACCAAAAAATTTCAACTGGAAATTCTTGCTCCAAGCACAAGCACTAATAAGGGCAAAATCTACCATTCTATATCGAATGAATCGAACACATTCGCTGGGTGTGGTGCAAGAGGAGCGATAGCAATTGCCACGCTGCTGCCAATGCACTTGCCTCAGGCCCCGGACAGACTTCACGCGATTTGATCGTCGCGACTGAATCGCGACAAGACAACTGTTCCAACATCATTCCATGCCGATCAACTTGCATTTCGGTTGTGATACTTTTCTAGCCCGAAATTTAAAAAAAAATGTGAAATGAAAATGAATGGAAATGTCGGCGATTAAGTCGCGACGATCAATTCGCGTGAAGTCTGTCCGGGGCCTCAAACTGCTCAAATTTCAGGCTTATAAAAATGAGTAGTCAAATAAATGCATTACTCAATGAGTTCTGTTCACAGTCCAGTGATAAGTGGAGTTTGATAATGTTATTTCAAGAAATTTGAAACATTTTAAGTTTCACCTTCAAAACCCTTCTTGACATTTCCGTCTAATTTTCGCTCTTCATTTTCAAGCAAACTTGGATCTTTCTAACTATTCTGCCCAAATGAAAGCATAATAGAAGGAAGTGCTCTAAATTTCTGCGTGCTAATGGAAAAGATTATTGGTAAAACATGCGCGAGCTATTGGCAACCACCAGCTATCGTTCCTCTTGCTCCCCACCCCACTCGCTGCAAATGGATAAAATTGCGACTTTTTAGATTTCACTGTCGGCTTGTCTAAAAAAAGCTGCATTCGTTTCGTCATAATGTTCATATCCACCAATACTAGACTGGTTTGAGCGAAACTGCGTGTGAATTTTCCAAAGATATGAGATCACTCGGGCAATGCCTGAGTTGTTCTAGATTGTTTTCACACTCCAGATTTGGTACGAAGGCTGGGTCACTGATGAATTAAATCGTTCCAAATCGCTAAGTATTTAGTATTTCAAACTGGCAAGATAATAATGAGAAAACAAAAAGTAAATTTCTGTGAACTTAGTCGAGCTTCTCCCTGACTTGAAACAAGCCCATAGTGCTGTGGGAGCTGCTTTCAATGGACCAGTAAACATGGCGATGAACCAGTACCAAGCCTGTAGTGTAGGAAACTCGCCCATCCAGCGGTAGGCGGGGCTAACGGTGCGCACTTTATTAACACATGCCTGCCTGAGTGCGCGCTATTGTTCATAAAGTTCACCACCCGTGTTCTTTGCTTATCATGATGATGGACAGAAGCTTTAGCTTTCAGCGTCGAATATGCAAATAAGATCTTTCCTAACTGTATGCTACTTCCTCAAAGTTACGAAACCAAAAACTTCGTTTGTTGCGGGACTAACAAACAGTAGGTGTAATGTAATTACACCTTTGTGCTTTCATATATCTCATCTAACATATTCTAGTCAATGCTCTCAGTTTGTCAGTTCGTAGGATAAGGATGTCACAGCAACAATATATTGTTCGCTGCAGCGGGGGTCCATTTGCTTGCCACCGAACTATAAGTCCCACTTTCTCATGATAAAAAATGTAAGGCCTCAAGTGGATTATCTAAGCCAAACTTTGCAGGGATTATTAACGAGTTTGCCGTATATGGCCATACTTTTTCATGCAAAAAAATCCTTCGGACTGTCTGGACATTTTCCGCAGTATGCATTTTTCCACACGATGAAGCTGGATAGCCGCGTACGATAGAAACGACCGTTTTCTTTTCGTCCAGCAATTTTTGGCGCGGGATATCCTGTGTGTCTCATGAAAAGTCCTATTCAAAGACAAAAGTTTTGCTTGACCTTTGTTTGAAAAATGAGCAGTTGCCGAAAATGCTTCTTTTTCGCCATTTGCATTTATTTTTGGAAGGGAAATTGAAACGCCCTAGCTATCCATTAGAATTAACGAATACATCGTAAAAATAATTGCCCTTCAATGGTATACGCATCCTGTCGCAAATTAACCGCTCTTTCAAAAGTGAGGACACATTAAACTTTACGAACTTTGAGACAATTCAACCCATACAATACCATCACTTGAATTGAAGGTCGAGCTTTGCAAGGTGTGGTTAGTAAAATGAACTTGTGCTATCTTATTTTGCATAATTTACTATTATTTTTGAGTGAAAGGAAAAGTTTGCGCTTGTATACAGTACGGCTAACGCTATCACGTCTCATTCAAATGGACTATTCAGACATGATCACAAACTTAGTTAAGCTGCTCTTGCATGTTCAGGAACTCTGAACCATTCGATTAGACCTAGCCAGTTCCTTTCAATCCCCTCTTCTTGCTAATCTTCCTCTCTTCTTCACTATTCGCAACTCGTAGTTAGAAAATGCAGGAAGGCGATGGTGAGCAGAAATGCCATACACGAGCTTTATTTCAACAAGTCGAAAAGGTCCATTTCTGCAAGTTTAAAACCAAACTTCACGAACCAATACAGCATTGCGAAAAAGTGGAAAATTTTGAAGGAAAAATCATAAAACTACATAACTGAACTACAAGCATGCATGAATTTTGGACTAGCTAGTCTCAGAACAAGATTGAGCGTTAATGGCAATGGGACAAGCAAAAACTATCTTTCTACAGTGTCAAATATTCAGACAAGTGCTCAACAAACTTTTTGCTGGTAGACTCCGCTTTTTGGATCACTTGTCAAGCATCGTTCCTGAAACAACTGCTCTTGCTATATATCATTTGAGAAAGCTATTGTTCAGACTGATACTATGATTCTCACGTGGACTTGAGAGGCTGCTTGGCTTCATCCAAATCGAAAGTTGGTTGGGGATCAGGAATATGTGCTCCTATGAAGACAACATATGTCCAAGCGGCTAGTGCGGCACCAAGAAACGGTGCTATTACAGGTATCCAAAAGTAGTTATCGTGATAACTGGAACAAGTGTCTAAATCAGCCTACAAACGACCGACCTTTGAATAGCTTACGTGAAAACCTCGGTATTATAGCCAATAAACAACATGAAAATTCGTGGTCCAAGATCTCTTGCTGGATTGATAGGGTAGCCAACGTTCATACCCATACTTGTTCCTATAAGTGCTTTCTTAAGACTTCATTGGTATATTCTTTTTGAATGTCAGTGAGTGTGAACATCAAGCTTTATTAGGCTGCATGATTATTTGATGGGCTAGTTTTGACAAACCTTCTATTGCCTAAAAGGAACTCTGTTCAAGTATGAAAGTCCTAAAAGCAAGCGTAGACACAACTACCCACTTGGTCCAAATTGGGAAGAAAAGTTGCTCCGAAAATGCCAAAATGCCACCTTTCTCGGGTTTTCATGTATAACTTCGCATTTCTCGATTATAAGATCACATACATGGGTAAAGTTTTGCGATTATACTCAAAATGGCTTGTACTGTACAATGACAAATGTGGGAGGGGCTGGGGGTTGAGTTTGCCATTTTTGTACTGTCATTCTTTTCTCGCTTTCTGCGGGAAAAATCCAGTAAAGGCATATTTGAGTACTACCATGTGCCTGCTGTATAATAACCAAGTTAAGGCCCGTTTTTCCTCATAATCCAATTTCAGGTGACAAATTTTTTTTCGATTTAGGCTCAAACTTTACTTGGAATGCGACTTAAGCGGACCCTCGGTGACCATTTTGTAGAGCTTGAGCTTCTCCATCGAATGATGTTTTGAATCACTAAGAAAACAAAAACAGCTCGATTTATTTGAAAAAGGAGTTTGCTTTTAAGACAACCTAGTATAATGTCTCGAAAATACAAATTTATTGGAGGGTTAAGACGAAAGCATCAAGATGAGTTGCTATGATGAAAAGGATGCTCATGAGATGACTCTGGCACATTCTATGTCTTCTGAAATTCTATTTGAAGCTGACAATGCTGTAAAAAGTTTTTTCCCGTTAACTGAAAATTTTGCAAGACTCTTGTGCAATCCTTCAGTTTTCAAGTTTGAGATTGTAATGTAAGCATTTGCGATAGCTTTGTAGCACTTCATTATCTTAGGCATCTTCACAAAGAGTTGAAACGAACACTGCAGACCATGAACCACACTGGCGTGACGAGGAAAAATGTTCGAACGGCCCAAAGGTGTATGCTTCAGTGTAAAGTTTATCATTAGAAGAAGATCTTACTTTTTAGATCAACCTCCAGGTAAAAATATTGCGTACGTTCAAGTAGAAGGTCGTTATTGCGAATAACTTTTTTTTACAAAAGTTCTAAGCTTGACCATCGAGAAACTGTCGAGTGTATACTTGTCACTTCCACGAGCGTCGATCATCGATCATGGACTGATTCAAGATTGTTCTGGAGAAAACAACCAAAGTTTCGTTGAGAAATTGTGTTTGTTGCTCCGCTTTCTATCCATAAGACTTCTACAAAAGATTTACAGTTGGAATTCTGAAATATTTTAAGCAAAACGCCAAAATTGCGCTGATTTTTGTTTCTCGCTCCAATTTTCGCCTTTCCCATTCCCGAAGGGTGATGAGAAGTTGAAGGTATTAATCAAACACTGACCTATCATCATGATTACGCATCCTATAAGGAAGGGATGAGCTGGAGCAGGTATAGCTGCTCTTTTGTCGATAACAACGCAAACAAAGAACATGAGAAGAGCTGTTCCGGCGACCTAAGAGAAGTGCGAATTAATCGGATAGATGAGAGATTTCAATGGAAAGGGCAAAACCTGATCAAAAAAGGCGATGGTGTTGCTGACGTGCGGCTCAGGAAAGGAGCAAAAGCATCCTCCAGTCCCAGCAGGTCCGGCTATTATTCTCTCTCCTCCAGTGTATTTTTGGAACTGATCTGCAGCAAAAGGTGAAACGTGTCTATTGAGAGTAATTATAAGACAGGATCTTTACCGTAATATATTCCATAGGCACCGGCGGTTCCGATGAATGCCCCAGCTGTCTGAGCAAAACAATAAATCACACAATCTTTCAAAGGAAGTTTTCCCAATGTATAGAAGGCAAACGAAACGGCTGGGTTCAAGTGTCCCCCTAAACGCCATTCTTGAGCGTTTTCAAAAATCTTACGCACAACTTACCTGACAGTTTACAGATAGTATAAACGCAGAATGCAATTGCAAACCCCCAACCTATGTTTATTTGTATCCATGTGTTAAGCTTCTCGTGCGAAAGTATTAATTGCATAACAATGCCAATTCCAATAAACTAAAAAGCTATGCATATTATGTTCACTGTTTTTTGTAGTGAGTCAATTTACACTTACTAGCAGCATTCCAGTAGCGAAAAATTCTCCTAGAGCATTGCGAAGGGTTTTGTCGCGTATTTGGAACTTTTGGCGAAAACGTTCCTCAGGGAGAATAGGCTCCATTATTCTAGTCAGGGGCTCCACCATGATTTTTTTACCTGGGATTGTAATAGTTTTACTTGAACATTTTTGATCACAAAACGGTGAAAACGAACGAAGTTTGATGAGTGTACAAGGGCATTAACGAGGAAGAAAGTTCCACATTACTCTCGAGTCAAAATAGTCTAATGACTTTACATGTGCAGATCAGGCATGAAAAGTTGTCAGCATGTGTAACATACGTTCTGCTGGAATATTTACAACTTCTGAGAAAGAGAGACAGGAGTTTGCGAAGGATTCGAACAGATCAGTATGGCTCTGCTGAGGAGTGTAACTATTGGCGATTGCATCATAGATTTCGCAAGATAGGTAGAGCTCCAAGAGACGCTCAAGAGCATTCACTGGTCAAGCTTAAATGCATGTCATTTTTTAGGCGTAAAAAGCAAAGCTTGGCTTCAGTTTAATTTCTATAAATAGAAAGGACAGCTTGAGTGGCAAGAGCAGAAAAATTTTGGTGGCATGTATTCTTAGTGTTATTTGCTGAAATCCTTGGGTTTATTTTAATAATGAAGTGCTGATCACGCATGAATAAATTGCTTCCGTTTACTTACTCGTTAGTAAGCTTACTTTGCAGGTAAGATCTGTGCATTTGTTGTTGGTTTTAAAGATAAAGATTAACTTAACACAGTCAAATTGCATACAAGAAACTCAAATTTGCATAGTAGCGGCTTTGATGGATATTTAACTGATTTTACTTGTCTTGCATGAGCGCATAGAAAAAATAAGGTTGCAGATTGTTTGTATCTTGAAACTAAAAAATCTTACGTAAACTGTTTATTGAGAATACAAAAAGGTCAGTCAATCACTCAGGGTTGCTCACGAAACATTATAAGAACATTTTTTACTACCATAAAGATATCGCTCCAAAAGGGCTGCCAAAAAATTGCATTAAAAAAGGGATTACACCTTTGTTTCTTGATAACCTGTAGCAAATTCGCATCAAATTTCCTAATCGTACGTGGTAACACAATGTGTTATGATTTCCATTTTTAGAGAGAATCCATTGTCCTAGAATTGAGAACTCAAGAAAAATTGGAAGGAACAGAATCAATTACTGATAGGAACTAGAATACAAGCGAACGTCCAAAGACAAACTGGAAAGTCAAGGTGTACTCTGCCACCTGCATGTGTGAAGAGAAAAGAAGTAATGAGCGACTATAGTATATCTAATGACCAGACTGGGTTAAAAACGCTTCAAGAAAGTAGAGGATAAGTTTAGGTGATCAGCAAAGCTGGGAAGAAGAGGGGGAGATTATGCTTAACAAACGGTGAGATGAAGGCAAAAGGTTGTAATGCTCGTTACATCTATAGGGCAGATGTGTCTATGCAGGCGTTGATAACAGCTCTGGAAGCAATAACCAAGAAGATTAATCTTAACAGTTGCTTGAAGTTTTTACATGGTCTAAGCTACGGAAGAATCAAGTGCCGACATCAGCGCGTTACCTAAATGTAAGGATCATGTGGCTGTAAGAAAACAGGTGTAATACACTTTATCTTCTTGGGTATCATAAATCAATGGCAATTGACGCTTATTTACATTTTTTACCTCAGGCGCATACGGTTACAAATCAGTCTTTCGATAGTGATGATAGAAAAGTGTGCATTGTCGTCACTCGTAATGTAGATATCTAAAAAAATTGTACAAGGTGGAAGTTTTCTTGTTTTTTTCTAGTTCTCTTCCCCCTCCTTTTTTCCCAGTTCTTGAGTCCAAACCTCTGCTCGCCGCTTCGAAAGCATTACCGATAAAATGCAACCTTCTCCTCGTGTTCTTTATCTATCAATGTTTATCCATGAACAAACGAAATTGCATTAATTGGCATGCAGAATTAATCCATGATGTCTTCACTTAGAAAATATTCATTGCCGGTAAAGTGATGCTTTTGAAATTCATTTCAGCCATGTAACCAATACTTTTGAAACATGCCGTAAAATGTAGCGTTGAACAGGTTAACAATTTCAAATAAATCCTGTTTCATTCTTGCAAAGGTAAAGTTTGCTGCAGTGTTGTGCGCAAACTTCATTTAACAATGGCTAATGTGCATTTTGCTTTCTGTTGCCGAAAGTCAAGTAGACGTTTCTCAATCGTGGCGCGTTTAAAGTAGGCATAACATCCTTTGAATTGACGCCTACGTCTTTGATGACAAAAACATAGGCAGATGCTTACTCAACTCTGCATAACCGAGCAGAATGGTCATATCTTTGACCCATCTTTACGTAGTGTAATGGCTTCATCATGCTGGCTCATAATATAACTTGATTATATTCCTACCCGCCATTTCAATACTAGAGTTTAGAATAAAGCACATCTCAGCCAACAAAACTTCTAAGCATTGTCTATTTCTAATACTAACTGGTAATGGATACCTATCTTCTACTTCGTCTGTTCAAAGGAAACTAGTGATAATGTTGAACGCTAACAGATAGCGGCTGTTAGGAAAGACACTTTGTACGAGCAGCCTTTGCAGAATGAAGAGATGGGATCGTCTGACCTAAGCCAAACTCATCAATCACACAAAAACAAAGATGAGCAACGAAGTGTAATTTAGGCTCTGGTTCCTTTGTTAGTACATTGTAGCCATGTTGAATGAAGTAAATGCTATATATTGAAAAATAATTATGAGATATCCCACGATTTGGTGATTGTATTGACAATAAAGGAAGGAACTACTAGTCTTGGAAAGCATCGTATGACATAATTATGAGATATTTTGAGAGTTGCAATAGCATACAAACTTGATGCAACGCACTGCTGTGACGAAAGTGAAACTGGAGAAAGGCAAGGAAGTACTAACATCTCATCCATCACCATCAACAAGTTCGTTATGACCTTATCGGTCAAAGACAATCAACTTTTGAATTTTTTTTACCCATCCAACCAGAATTTTCGTATGGCTCGCATCCTTCATTTTACATACCTTTTCGGTCTATCGACTAAGTAAGTTACACTGTTGCGAACGGGACTGCTGTCTGTGCGCTCGAATGTTTCGAGTGCACAGACATCCGATTGATCACACCAAAGCCGAAAGATTATGCTGAAGAATGTTGTTAAACTGAACAGCCATATCTGTCGCTATAATTCGAAGGCACCGGTTCCATACGTTTTGGAAATCCCTCTATACAATAGTTGCGGAAATCAAATACTGACAAAATGAAAGAAGCCGCATAGCAACGTTTAGTAACAGAAAAGCCAGGCTGAAAGTGATCCTCTAGATGGTTTGGATAGCTTGAAGCTGTTATGCTTGAACCGTAAACTTCGACGCGTACGCTAAGCTTGATAATGAGTGGTTATTTTTCGCTAAGCTGTCACTGCATTACTTGCTTTTTTGCTATTGCTACATTATTTTTTGAATGAAAAAGTGAGCGCCTTTGAGAGAATCCAATGACTGCATTTGCGTTATTGACGAAAATGAATCCTGCACAACAACTACCGTACGCTAAGTCACAGTTTTTGCAACAAGGAAATAGTACCAAGTCGCAGCGACAAATTGGAAAGAGATGTACGTCGCCAGATCATCTTTTGACGGTAATTTCAATCCTGCTCTTTTTTTTTTGTTCTGCGGAATGACTTTTTGGAAGATGTTTGAACGCTTGAAAGTCATTTAAAAGAAGTTAAAAGGATTTGTGAAGCCTCTTACGTCTTTTTAGACTGATTTTTTATGGACATCAGGGACTTGATTAGAATCATAGCTTTCGGCCTTTGACTTCTTCCAAAAAATCGTTTTGCGGCTATGAGTTAGGCCAGACTGCTTACGTTGGCTCAACCTTATGGAAAGCGTATCTCATTTAGTTCAAAGTCGCAGTTTGTGGTACACATTTCTTTCCAACTCGCCGGTGCAACTTGATATACTCTTGCCGATTAAGATTCACTTTGTTCAATACACGGAAAAGATATGTGAAGGATTTGCCCTGTCGATACTGAAAACTTCATGGAGTTTGTAAGAGATGTTTTGAAACAGGAACGCTCAAACCACATTTGCAAACAAAAAGTGTATCAATATTAGTAACACAAATAAGAGGTGAGCGTTTTGAAAATTTACCATTTATTTAGGTACGGGCTTAAGAGTCACGACTCTTGCGAATTTTGTACAGCGATGCCGCAGTGCAACGTGAAGCAGTACAAGAGTCATTTATCGCCATTGCTCCTGTGGCAGTGTCGCATAAAACATCGTGCCATGTATCTGCCCAAACTCACGTCACCCTTTTAGCCTAAACTTGTACCATTTTAGCAAAGGACAGTTTGTGGGCACAAGACTGGAGAGCAGCGACGAAGCAGGTGTTTTTAACCTATAGCCGCAACGTTGATTCAGACTTCGCTGCGTACGCGGCGTACGCTCGAAAAATGAATGGGTTATGGGTTAGTAAACGCCAATGTTGTTCTCCCATTTTCAAATGTCCACCATATACTTACCCTTAGTTCAAATCTTATTTGATGTTGCTCCTCTTTGTAACTTTTTCCAGCTTGAGTTTCGTGTTTGCCATATATTATAATTTCTGTGACACCGTGAAATTCCTTCTGTTTCCTTCGTGATAAACGGCATTATCACCAGTTTGATTCTTCAAACTTCAAGCTTTTTCTGAAGCATATTAGTGGAGCTAGCAACCAGTATCAGCAGCTCAGACCACTGCTCAGAGCTTGGACCGAAAACCACAGAGTTTTCAAAACGAAGTTTCCCTACAGCTTCGCTAAATTTTACGAAGTCCCCGTAAACGCCTGACTCTTTTTTTGAACATGTATCTGGGATGGATCCCTAGCTTCAGAATAAATAAACTAAAAACCCTTTTTTACCATGTAATTCAACTCCCAGAAAATACATTACTTTTTACGCATAATCGTTAACATAATGCGCTATCGTAGTCATACGCACACATCACTTTAAAGGTGTATAGGCAAGTCATTGATGAAACGGTATACGATATTTTATGCTGTGAACATTTTCGTTTTCCGCGCTATTTCGATGGTCCGCTCTCTAAAAGGAAATGCGCATTGTGATATTTTGACAGAGGCTGTTTGAAGACGAAGTGATTTTGCTTCGGCATTGATCTGCTACTCTTGAATGCTTTCTTAATAGGATAAAGAAATCCTCACTTGAAAAAGATGCAGCAAATTTTCGGGATAGCAGTTTTTATTGTTTTTTAAGAGAATTGCTTAAATCTTATTTAAAAAATTGCCTTTTGTAAAGGTAATGAAATGCTTATTTAGTGGTTGGTATGCGTTCATACTCGAAAAACGGCAAATACTTAACAGGAAATAATTTAAATGGCTCAATCTCTTTGATGGAGAGTCGGCTTTTGTATGAACGAACGAGCGCAGAGCAGTAGCAGAGTAAGTATCGGATAATTCGGCACAACTAACTATGTGTTGGGCCGTCCAGCCAAATTTTTGCCTGAAACTGCCGGAACGCAGCGGTATAGCGATAGATCATATTTTGCCCTAAAATCAACGCGGTAGCTCGAAGGTTCGCAAAATTCTCCATCGAATACCCCTTCTATGACACGTAATTATAGAAAGGATAGACAGCAAAAAATGTGTTTATGTTGTTATAAGCTCAATCAAGTGCTCTCCGAGCAAATTTTTAGAAGAAACACAAGCTCTGACATCTCGGAATTTGGAAAAGTCGGTACCTGTGTGTTAGTTTATTAGGCTTTGCCTCACAAACACAAAGAGTTTGAAGAAAGCAGCGTATAGGCAGCTGTCCCTAGTATCTGGCGGACGACTTACATCATCTTGCAGGGTTTTCCGCGGGAACATCTTACATTGCTGCTGGTCTTTGCGCGATAGCATGCAATCCAGTACAAGTCGTCCGCCATATACAGCGGGGTTTTCTCTGAGGAAGACTACCTCAGCCGCGAGTGCGTAGTGTCGTCTGCGATCCCGCTTAGGCCATGTCTCAGGACGCCTTCATACTGCGCCGGCAGTCGCTGCTAGCAGCCCGTAGCCGC